TCTCTCTCTCTCTCTCTCTCCCCTCCTTTATGTATTTGCCGAGTCATACGTTACAATGTGCATAGTCCAAAGGCCTTTAAGATCAATACAATCGTTTTGAAATCATGAAATCTCTCCCTACTCCCCCTTATTTCTTTCTCAAGACTATCGCTTATTGCACCTTACAGCCCCTCTCCCACACTATGTATCCCCATACTCCTTTCTCTCCTCACTTCTCTCCATCCCTATTTATTTTCCCACAGATCACTACCAACTACCTGACCCTCTACCCATCTCTTTTTCCCCTCCCCATCAAGGCCCGCCCATTCAGTAAGCGTTTACCGTCACCAATAACCCGCTCCACTTAATGACAAAATTGCCCCAGACACTACACGTCGCACACAACCCTCCCACTTCCCACACCAGCGAGTCCTTCATTCGGACCTATCTCAGAGACGTTTCGTTTAAAGCACGCTATAAAAAAAAATCTCATCGTTTCGAAAGCTTACCACGATAAGGCCATAAACGGAGATACAGCGAGGGTCCCATGTGACACATAGCAGACGCTGACCATTATGGTCACTCCCATGCCACGCGTCGATACAGCACTGCGACCCTGGTAATGGCAGGTTCACAATGAGAAGATGACCCTGCTCCCTGCTACAACACTGATGGATCCCCGACTCCGTTCCGACAAAGGTGGACAATGTAAACGGACAGCTCCGTTCCGACACAGGTGACTAACACGAACAGATAGCTTGATGAGTTTACAGGAACTACGGTAGCGAAGAACTAAAAGAAGTAGCTTATTTGTTGATAATGTCTAGGCTGAGTGGGATACAATGTCCCAGCAGACAGGCGAAGATACCAAATAAAAATCCTTCCCATTAGGGAATCGAACTCAGGCCTTCTGCGTGCGACGGAAAAGAACCTTATTGCTACACCACATACATCATTGCGTGTTGAGTGAAGAACCTATATATTATCATATTACCCCATCCACGAATGGCAGGACTCAATAAGTAATGGCAAAGTGCGTTACCGGGAAACATGTATTGCCCTTGGATGAAATTAGACGGCACGGGACGCACCAAGAATGGGCGAGTGAGTCCCTTGAGCAACAACCTGTCAGTGACGTAATTGCTTAATGCTTTAATGGCTGCCGCACATCGACGTGAGCAAAGAAAACAATGCGAAAAGCCAGGCGTCAGTATGTCCATCTGTCACGAGAGACACAGCGCAGGGTCAGCACATTGATCCCAGAGGTACAGCAAGGTTGCACGTCCGGCCTCTAATTTACAATGACGAGAAATAACACGGGTCCAGCCGGTGTCAGGGTATGTCGACAGACGGAAACTTTTAAGTGACCACCTGTGTCCATCCCGCTGTCAACAGCGAAATAAATGACGTCACACCGTAATCCTGTTTCCAGTATCCTTTGAACGTAACAAGAGCTGGCTCGACTCGGGGGCGACAGGAGCGCTGTTGTTGCAGCATTTTGCAAATACCCATGGGCTGAACCAAAAAAAAAAGACTTTTATTACTGGAAATACCACTGGATTCAATGTGGAATATCTTGGATGAGACGAAAGGAACGCCGATATGGGAGACTTGAGAGGGCAGTCGTGACCATTTTAAAAAATGCATTTATTTTAGTAATAGTTTTACGGCACTTGCAAGTGCCCAAGATTACAAATATTACAAGAAATAAGGGAGATAAGGACCACGAATGTCTGATAGGAAAAAAAGAGCAAACCAGACCAAAGCACCCGCCAACCGCCCACCCACCCACCAAAAAAAACAATGGAGAAAGAACAGACAATATCAGAACGATAAGAACTCGAGCCATGGAAACTAATAAGCCTCACATGAGCGCAGATGCTAAATAATTGTGTTCTTGCTGACGCCATTTGATATAATTATAGCGGATGATCAGATCAGATCAGTTCGATTATTGGTGGCGCCAGTACACACAATAACAAATTTCGTATTGCTTTGTTTCATCAAATTTGACCTGGAAGTCCATTCCGACAAATTGGATTTCGCGCTCAAACAAAAGACCTGATCCCGTAATGCGTAACAGCCCTCTGGTTGGATATTTTCACAAGACGTATCAGATCCGCGACCCAGAAAAGCAAACATGTTTGATGTTTGTAACTTTGATCAAATTGTTCCAAAATTGTAGCTTTTGCGCTTCCACGAAGAGAATCCTAGCCAATCAAGTTATCAAGTGTATCAAATGGAGATTTGACTAAACTTGAACTGAAATGTGCACCAGGTATAAAAGGGAAATTGTGATTATGAAGCGCCCCCCCCCCCCCCCCTTATTTTTTGTTACCCAAGCACTTTCTTTCCCCTAACCCCGACTAGAGCATTAAGAAGAACATATTATAGCAATCTGTAATATAGATTCCATGAACCATGCCACTGTTAGGTTCGCCATATGACTGAATATCTCACTATCGACACATTTTTGGTTCTGTAAGTGCTCCCGCCCCAAAATGATGAACAATCACAGGCCTGTCTAACTACTGGTTGAAAGGAAGAACAAACATTTACAAAATTCGCAGTGAGTAAGGCAAACATTTATCTATTTGTAGTCTTGTAGCAGCAGCGAAAAAGGTTTGCAGCAGACTGTACGTTTACGGTGAGTCAGGCGGATAAGGGCTACAATTCCCCAAAAAGGCCGGACCGTTTGGGTAAGTGGGTATCACGTTGAACCAAGATACAGACGGTCATGAAATCGAATCCCTTAAGTGGCGTTCTTGTCTTACCTGTGTTGCTGGGGACGAGGGGGGGGGTGTCATCATGGCTCTCCACCCATTCGACTTTGTTCTATCTCAGAAGTTATTCCCAGTGGTTCTGCCTTAAAGGCAGCCTTACAGCACTGAAAAGTGCGCTAAACACATTTCATACCATACTTTCACTTGAAGTATATAGTTTTCTTTTTGTTTGAGAACAGAGAAGTACATCGACATAAGAATGGTCATGTAGTGCTGAGGAAACAGTAAAACAGACAGAGACAGCAGAGGGAAAGTGTGAACAAGTAAGACTTACCAATGGCCCCCTCCAAAAACCCACTGAGATTGAGAAACAGAGAGAGGAAACAAAAAGTAGCGGGAGACCACATAACGGCACCTACCAACCGCCTACATATGTCGCACAGACGTCTCTGGACAGGAAAGGGGGGGGGGGGCACTTATTCAACTTGACCCCCTTAACCCACGTCGGGGCCTTTCTAAAAACAGCAAAAAGAAAAATACCACAAACAAAAAATACGTGCCGGGTCGTGTGAAACTTGAGAACCAGAACGTTGGTTTCTTTAACAATCAATACAGCTCATCTTCCCAGTACAGGCCACGGCACGCGCCCAGGGTGAGAGCACATAACGGAGACGGCAACAGCCGGGCCAGTGGCGTAGACCCGCGGTCGTACTTACATTTTAACAGTACAGTCAGCTTACAGAACAACAGATTCGGTGCCGCGTAGAACGGTTAAGTCGTGATACGGCTGTTACACCACTTCTAATAAAGAAACTCTTTTCAAGGAAGAGAAACAA